ATTTTGGCGTTCACAGAGCCCGGCCACCCAGTCCCGGACGTTTGGGCTTCGCTGGTCGCAGAGAACATGACACCTTGGCTATGTCTACACCCGCGGCTTCTTGCGTGAGAAATATGCAAATGAGCCTAAGTGTGGAATATCGCCGAGCCTCATTTGCATACCTAATGAGCCGCCATTTTTGCAGAAGAGGCTCTTGCGCCAGAGGGAGCGTCTACGCTGCCCCTTCTTGCGCAACAAAAACCCTCTTGCGCAAGGCCGCTATTCCTGAAAATAATCAGCGTGGCAGCATCGCGCAAGAGGGTTTTTGTTGCGCAAGAAGGGGCAGTGTAGACAGCTCCTTCAGGCGCAAGAGCCTCGTCTTCAAAAGTGGTGGCTCATTCGGTATGCAAATGAGCTCAGCAATATTCCATGCTTTGCCTCATTTGCATATTTCTCACGCAAGAAGCCACAAGTGTAAACGTAGCCCTTGAGGGCAAAGCTGAGGATGGCCAATGAGGTTACTCTTAAGATCGGTGCTGACCTCCAGCTAAAACACTGTCTCCATGGTTCTGTTTTGCGGTTGGGCCCCAATTCAGGACAGGCTGTAAAACCGGTGTTTAAGTCCTGCTGCTGTCGGCCGGCGTTAGGCATGTGCGAAAGTGCTTTCCTTGGACGGCTGCAGCTACGAGGACGCACCTAGCTCTTTTTCTGACCCTGGCGCAGGGCCTGCCTTTCAAAGGGTGTGAAAGGGGGAAGCGGCTTTTCCAGAGGGGTGTGAAATGGGGAGTAGTCTGAAGTTTGGGGAGGGGGGAGAATCGGTCACAGAGTTACACCCATTGGAGCAGCAACTGTGGTGGTTTGCCTCTGCCAGAGGATGAATGTTGCTTTTACTGATCCTTTGTGCAGCCAGTTTAATCCCTAAAGAGTTGAGGGCCAGTTGAAATGGAAACAGGGGAACTCCTCAACTTGCTCTATCGCAGATGCGGGGGAGGGCGGGGGGGGCGGAAATCCCCCTAAACTGCAGGAATTTCCCTTGGGTGCTTCCAAGCAGCTCTGCACTCACACCCAGAGCGTCTAAGGGATTTAGGTGCCTTTGGGGAGATGGGCCTAAGTAACCCCTAAGGGCTAGTGCCGGGGAAAACTTTGCTACTGAAACCTTTGAAGATTCCTGCCATTTGTGCTTACCCTTCTGCCATTTGCCCAGCACAGGGGCAAACTCAGCAGCTGGCTGGATTGGGAGGGCTGCCTTATTTGGTTTGCGTAACCCCATGCAATCTTTATTACCAAGCCGTCCCCTCTGCAGTGCTCTGTCTCCACCAGGGCAGGCTCCGTGTGGCTCAGGAATAAGTAGAGAGTTGGAGTCTCTGAGCTGAAGGTGGGGACGTACAGAGGGAGAAATCTGGCCTGTGCTTTTTTTCGGCTTCTTTCTAATGTTTAAAAACTGCCTGCAACGTTATGCTCTCTCCTGGGTCCTCTCTGTTAGATACCGAAGTCTCAGAGAGGCCTGCTTAAAACTGGAGTAGTGGGTGGGTAACACCAAGGAAGAGAGCTGATGGAGAGAAGTGGGGTTTTTTTTTTTAAATAAACTTTGAAAATGTTTCACGTATGCCTCGTTTCTCCCCAGCAGTTGAGCAAAATGTTCTTTTTTGCTAAAGGTTCCCAGCACCCAGCTTTTTCCAATTAACAATTGAGACGGCTTCCAATATGGATTCCTGAGTCATGAAATGAAGCCAATACGAGACATTCCTGGTCCTCCTAAATTTAAAAAAAGGAGCAACCTGAAAAATCAAACCTTTTGGGCCTCCCGTATACCTCCCAGAAGCAACAAGGGGGCACCAACAATTTTCTCTCGCCGCAAAGCATCGACAATTATTAACCCATTGCAGACCAGCCGAGGTGGTTTGCCCCGCTCCTCGAGCCAGCAAGCGGAGGGAGAGGAATTTAATATAACACTTCCTCGCTGAAGCATTTTACAACCCCAAGGCTGAAAAGAGCAGACGAATCACCCTTTTGAGCTGTACATGGCAAAACACAGTTTATTATTGACATTACAGTATGCCTTGCCTTTACAATGCAGACAACAGCGTTATACGTGTACTGGAGTTTTCAAGTTAAATGTACAGAAACAGGAATAATTATTCTTACAAAGCTACTAAGATGTCACATAGCGCTAAGTGCTTGATCCATGAGCCGTTGCCATGGACTGTGCAGCGATCATTTTAAAATCTTATTGGTACATATTTGCATACCTGATTTCTTTTGTTCAGCCTTAAAGAAAAACACAACCCCCCGTGGGTTTCCCCTTGACGACCTGGATTCGGTCTTACGGAAGAAACGTGGCTTGCAGAAAACGATTTCCGTGTTTCCCACCATAGGAGTGATGCTGTATTTTAACATCTACCTAGCAATGTCTCTAGGGAGGTTATTCCCCTAGCGGACTCACCGTCTGGCTTGGGAGTCCAGGAATGGGACACAATCTGTGTTTCGTGACGGTGAAGGAGTCTTTTGTGACTGATGTCTTCGGGCAGTAATGGTTTGTGGTGGCCAACAGCAAGCAGCCTCCTGCCTCCCCCAATCACATCGTCATTTGAAAGACGCCAGGTAAGATGGCTGTGAGACCCCTGCAGGGAAGAAAAGCTCTAAAGGTCTTACTAGCCCTCTCCAACCTGTGCCAGTCCTACGCATGTACAGCCAAACACCTGCGGAGATTGCTTTCCAAGCTTTGCCCCGCTCACGCAGCATGGCCCTCCCTAAGAGCAAATTCAGGCAAAAGCCACACACTTCGCTAGTCCTTGCAAAGAAGCCAAATACCCACCTGGTTAGTTGCTATCGTTTCCCCTCCCCCCCCAAACTGTGCTGAGATTCATCCATTTACTGAAAGGACCAGTAAACGTTTTAAGGCACCTTTTTAAGCTCAGTACTACGAAATAGACACAGAACCTTCACAAGACCCTAGTGCACGAAGTCAAAGGCCACTTGTCCGTTCTACAGCGTCAGAATACGGTTTTGTGGGGGCAAAAAACCAACTAAGCCATGTGCTTCGCCGGGAATAGTCGCTATTGCAAGTCTTACGTTTTCGCCCTAATGTGCCAATAGCTGGGGGGAGGAAGGAGCGGTTATTTACCTAATCTCTCTCCCGCCCCGCCTGCTTTTTTAATACTGTTGTCATTGTTACAAAATACATGCCAGCCCAAAAGGCTATTTTGTTAGCTTTCAGAAAGAAGGCAACAGGAATCGACCTGCTCTTTACGGCATGGATCCAGCCCCGGGTACGACTCTACTGCCTGGAAGCCATTAGTACATGTTTAATTTACTCGTTATTATTCCTCGGCGGATGTCCGAGGTAAGCAGGGAAGATTTTATGTTGGTTTAGTCATGGCTATGTAGGATCGGGTGAGTGGTACGTTTTCTGATATTGTCTAACGAGAGCAGAGATTTTTTCAGTGCCTCACCCGTTATCTGCCCCCTTCTCCCAACCACGCTGCCTATTTGACGGTGAGTAATACAGTGTGGACCAGCGGCTAGTCTTCCATCTGCCCAGGAGACGATCCCCACATGCCGGATCATGTTGCGAAGCTGGGCCCAGCACAGACAGACAGACAACAGAGAGAGCTTGTGTGTTACTCGTCCGGGTTG